ATCCTCAGCCAATGCTGCACATGAGGGGCAGAGCTGGCCGGGCAGATCCTGCTCCTCCTCTGCTTCCCTTCGGGGATGTTTGCACTGAGGACTGGGAGGGTCTATGTTTACAATAGAGAGCCTTCTGCCTGCCCAGCTGGCCCTGCAGTATATACACGATCAAGAGCAGAGAAACAGGCACTGAGGACCAAGAACAAGCACCGCCACAATGGCTGACGATAGTGAATCAAATTATAGGTCACTCCCACTGGTCTTTCCTGAATGGATCCAACTGAAACTTGACAGTTCTGAGTCCTCCCAAAGCCCAGCGGCCTGACGCACAAAGCAGCACTTCCAGGGCAAGCTTTGGGACGCAGCACCTTTCCTGGGAGAGGAGCTGAACAGAATCTGGAAGATGCGATAGTCTATTTCAGAATAAAAACGTGCCTCAAAAACAAATTAAAGCCTTCCTTGGATTGAAACAGGAAGTAGAAGGTTCAAACTGTGTCGGTTTTCAATGGATGTTCTAATTCTAACTTGCTATTCCTTCCACAGATCTTTGTTAAGAATGGCACTCAAAACAAGGCTGTAAGTAGATGGCTTTTCTTCCTTTAAACACTATAATACACTTCTATCCTTTTGTGCAAACAGGAGATACACAAAGAAACCACTAACATCTCAAATCCTACACTGCAACAAATTTTAGGACAGCATTCAGTGTAGCTCTCAAAAAGACCTTTGTTGAAAAGGGCCGTTGCATTCTGTGAGCCCTAATTATTTAAGAACTAAAACCCAACTCTCATTACAACAGCAGCAGAAAATACAGGACCCTATGAATCACCTCACCACAAAACATTTTAAAGAAATGGAATAAGAAAAATTATTGTTTTGGCTGCAGGCAATGAAAATACTTTGAAAAATTCAGCTATCTTTTATATCAAAATAGCTATTATAGCTCCAGTTGTGTATAGTTCCAACCACTCCATATGACTTGTTTTTCAGTTCCAACCACACCATTTGATTTTTTTAGATGAATTATAAACTCAAGTCTATAATTCATGCCAGCACTACCAATTACAAGCTCTGTGTCCCTAGAAAGCTGTGTCCTTTCTCCTTTGTGCCTCAGTTTCCCCATCTGCAAAACAGGAATACAGTGGAAATGTTCTGAGGTCCAGATCTGCAGCTGACACATGGCTTGTACTCAGTAATGTTTAACTGCCACCACTGATATTACTGTAATGGGTAAACTGAATTTTGTGCTATAACTGCGAGAAATTACTAGAAGGAACCTTGTGCTTCCTGTTATCTACTCTAAGGAATATATTCTCGCTCTCTGCTCAAGGCTGTTTAGCAATGAGTTACTGTTTCTTGTCAAGGAAGCAAGCTGAAATAAACTCCCTCCCTAACCGTTTCCTGTAAATGTAGTCAGCTCAAGATGTACCTTATAAAATCATGCTCTTATCGCTAAACTGTGAAAGACCCCTTAGCTACAGTTTGCAGCTGTGTCAAATGAAAGTGGGTTTTTGCTGTTCTGTGCTGGATAACAAATTTTCTTACCAAACATGATGCAATTTTTGCTTTAAAAGCCCCTTGCTCCCGGGCCCAGGGCTGATCAGTTCTGCGTGAGAACTGGCTGAAAGTCCTGAGCTCAGTAAATAAAGGTTCTTTCAAATTCTAATGTGGCCTCTGATCTGGTTTCTATACTGAGTGACCCATAACAACTACCACCAGCACAGTACAATTTGGAAGCATGAGTAAGTGACAGTAAGGTCATTTTTGCATCTTTTCTATTTTCCAGTACCAGGGACCAAACTCAGGACCTTTTGTTTGCCAGGCAGGCAGTTATGCTGCTGAGCTATCTCAGTAGAACCTGGCTCCGTAAGGTCATTTTTGAAGAGCAGATATGGTATCTGTGTAAGATCAAAAGATCAATGGAAGAAAACAGATATCCTTAAAGTGCATGCACGCACACACACACTTTTTAAAATATAACTCATGAAACATAATAAACTAACTTGAAATAGGTTATTTAAAGACGAGTTTATTAAACTGGCTAATCTGAAAGAAAACCCAGCATCTCACTGTATATAACTTTCAAAATAAATTCAGATGGAGCAGCAATGTGTTTTTTAAAAAGCATGTAGAAGAAGAAACAGGTAAGTTTCTGTATTAATTTAGAAAACAGAAAAGTTTATACATGAGAAACAGGAAAGGGAGGCACAGAAGGAAAACGGGAGGGAGGCATGGAAGGGAAGAAGGAAATGACCAAAGTAATGCGATAAAAAAGCAGAATTAATAAATATAAAGTTTATTTGCTATATAAAAGACCTTTTTAAGCCAAGGTGGGGGGTTAAAAGAGGGATGAACCAACAACTTAAGACTAAAATAAACTTACCCAACAAGTAACTGAAAAACATTCAACCTCATTAGTAACTTAAAAGTACAAAAACAAAGCAGAGTATGTCTTTAATTAAAAATCAGTACAGCACCCAGCAAAGGCAAAAAGCATAGTAAGTCAAAGATGTCCTTGAACTGGCAGTGGGCACAAGGTGCCACAGAGCAGGCACTTCCCCTCCTGGAAGGCAGCACAGCTGCAGACTCCTGCATCGACTGCAGCAGGGCCTAAGGCTACTCCCAACAGGGACAGTCACCTAAGCGTGCAGTACAACGGGAGCAGCACTTAACTCAACGCTGGAAATGCCACCATGGCATATGTAGTCATTAAATGGCAGTTTTGAGAATTATCAGGATATGAGGCCCTTCACATGTTATTCAACCGTACTTGAGAGAGAGAAAGAAAAGCCTATAGAATTACTTGTTCCATTTTTCTCAATTCTGGATGATGGAATAAGTTTTTTAAAAAAGGCAGAAACAAAACATGTAACTGTGGCTAACTCAGAGATCAGCTTATAAGCTATTCATTCTTAAGGGGTTTTCTTTATTTTTGTTGTTTCACAAATTCTCTACTATGAGCACACAGACCTTTAGTACTTGGTAAAATAACAAGAGCTGTCAAATATGGTAAGATACTACCCACAGAAGGAGCAGCCAATAGCAGTCAAGACTCCCAAGCACTTCCTAAGACCTACTGAGTCTACATATTTGCCAACTCGCACTTCTCTCCTTGTCTCCCTAGTGCCTCAGATGACCTGGCTCCATCTGACTCGTGCCTACAGAATGGGACCAGAGTACCTGCAGGAAGGAAGGTAGGTACCTGGGCCTCTTCTTCCCCTTCCCAGCCTCAAGCTGCTTCCAGCCTCAGCCAGTGTTACTTCTCTGGAGACCAGAAGCCATGCTGGCCCCACCAGAAAATTGTCTCTTTTCTATCTTTTCATAGTATTTTAAAAGAAGGAGCTAGCTGTGTACATGCCTGTAATCCCAGTACTTGGGAGCCTGATGCAGGAGGATCATCAGGAGTTGGAGGTCAGCCTGGGCTACATAGTCAGTTCAACACCAGCCTGGAATACTTTGAGACCCCTATCTCAAAAAACCAGAAAAATACTCACACTACTTTTCACCCAGAGAGAGAAATTTCTCACTCGTAACAGAGTACTTCTTGACTTGTAAGAATGTGTGTTTTCACAGGTACCCACCTGCCTGATGCACTAAAATCCTGTGTTCCTGGAGGAAGGGTTGTACTTGCCCAAAACTTCCAGTTCCCTGGTTATCTGAATGGTTAATATCAAAACCTGGCTCTTTAGTGTCCCCTATTTTTGATGTCTAGCTAATTTAATTTTTAAAAATAAAAGTAAAACTAATTCCTTCCTTCTTTATCCCAATAAAATCTGTAGGATGGGAGAAATATTTTTTGCTCTAGAAAAGAAATCCAAGACCCTCTGGCAAGGGACATTTCCCACCTGGAACTGGAACATCTGCTTTTGGTAATTGGAATAGAAAACCTGGGAGAGGTCTGCTTTTATTTTTTCATTAAAAACAGAGGCAAGCTCTTGATCCATCCACACAGGAGCTCTTATACAATCCTGCAGCTAGACAGTAAGTGGGTGTGCACACTCCTCTCCCAGCATTCTGTCTGCTCTGAGCAAAGTAAAGAAAGATCAATCCTTCATATTGATCTAATGTCCAAAGCCAGGCTCTTCACTTGAATTTCATTAGAAGCAATTCCCTTGCAGTCTGAACATTTAGATAGAAAGGTTATGTATCTGACGGGGAAATAACTAGGAAGTACCACATTGTCTGACTGCTCCCACACAACACAGCAGCCGCCACAGTACCCTGAGGAAGGAAGGAGAAAGGAAGGAGGAGGGAAAAGGAGGCAGGGGAGAAAAAACTTGAGGGCTTGGGGAAACAGTGCAGACCAAGGGCCCCACCAGCTCTCTGAAACTGAGGTTCTCTGGTAGGCTGTATCTAAACTCTCCAGCAGGCTGAATGCAGTCACCAACCAATAATCCTCCAGTCAAAAAGTTTCTGAAAAAAAGCTTCTCATGTAGAAACCTTAGGCTTTGCTGTGAATTCTATCAAACGCTCAAAAAAAAAAAAAAAAAAAAAAAAGAAAGAAAGAAAGAAAGAAAGAAGAAAATGAATACCAACCATTCACAAACTCTTCCAAAAATTACACAAGGAGGCAACACTTCTTAACTCATTCTATGAGATCAGTACTGCCCTGGTCCCAAAGCCAAACAGAAATATTCCAAGTAAAGAAAGCTGCCAACTACATTCTTTATAAACACAGACAAGGCATCCTCAATAGAATAAGCAAATAAAAAAGCTTGATAAACACATGGAAGATGTAGAGGTCCTCTCTTTGGAAATGTTGCCAGCTGAGTTTCCTAAAAATAGTTACCTACGCTAGGTGAGTGTGTGTGACAAAGATCCCACCTATGAACCAGAGGAACAGCAAACTACAGCTTATCTTTATTTAGGTTCAACTGGTCAGAACAATTTTAAGCTGTAAGAAGGCATATCCAGCCTCCCATAGAAGCCAACGCCATTCTGTCCCACGGCCCGTGAATCCCACAATGCACGAGCGCAGAGGGGCTCACTGGGCAGAAGTTGATACTCACATTCCTCAGGACAGGAAGTGCCAACTGCTCGAAAGAAGTCAGATCAACCACATACTGCCCGACTCTGCAGTCAAGCCTCCCGGACTGAGGCTGTGACCTGAAAGAAAAGACAGCGTGTTCTGCGGAAAAAGTATTGTGTTCTGGTGCTCGGCACGCCCACTAATTCAACCTCATTGTCACACAAGAGGCTATGGTGATTCAGTATTCCCCAGAGAAGAGTGCCATACTTCAGTGTCCCCTGGATACCAAGGGGTATCCTGTGCTCCACACCTTGGTCCTGGAGTTCCAGGAACTAGGCACTAACTGTCTGAAAGTAGTTTTAGGCAAGAGATCAAGAATTACAAAGACAGCACAGCAGCCACGGTTTGATCCCCATTGCGCTGTGCTGGCCCCACCCCCAGGGCCCGCTCAGACAGTGACTGAGACTGGGCATGGCGGCAGGCGCCTGTAATCCCAGCACTTGGGAGGCTAAAAACAGGAGAATCACTATGAGTCTGATCTACGTAGTGAGACCCTGTAGACCCTGTAACAAACACACACAAAAAAAAAGAATTACAAAGAGAGAAATGTGGATAACTGTGCCACCTGAGCTTAAGGGAAATATGGCCTTTGTGACCTTGTTTTTCATATGATAGTCTCTGTTCTTCATCTGAGAAAGCTCTAAAGGTTCCAAGATTCCTCAAGACATACAAGGGTATTGGCGCAGCCTGAATCAGAGGGAGAACTCAGTTTCTCTCTGAGAAGGTAATCAGACTAGAAATGCTTCTGGAACATGGACAGGACAGCCCAGAGCTAAAGCCCCACAGAAGGGAAACATCAGTACCTGACTCTGGACAGTGGCCCCTGAGCACCAGACAAGGTGATCACATCAAATCCTGTCCTCCTTCCTCCCTGCCTGACTTCTTTCGTGTAAAATCCATCCACAGGCACCCCGTAGGACTGCAGACGCTCACTGGCTTTCTGAATCAAGGTGGTTTTTCCAACCCCTGAAAGAGCAAAGAGAAGATACCTTAGAAGAGAAGGGCCCAGCTCTGTTGGGGGCACACAGCAGACTCCAGGAGGCAAGCACAATGGGGAGAGAAATGGGCTACACATGGATTTTATGGGCATGAATTTCACTATAACCTTATTCCTCCCAGGTATTATGCATTTTTCATTTCGGTAAAAATGAGTACAATAAAACATGAGTGGTGTCTCAACATTTGGATTCTGAAACACTTATCACATATATAATCCTATAACTCACTGAGTGACTCTGATAATACTGTCAGATGCAGTTTGCGTCGTGAGCTGCGCCTCTGCTTCTCCTAGCCTTACCCCTTCCCTCCTCTACCTTGAAGATGACACTGCTCATGCCATACCCAGAAGCACCCACTGCAGAACAGGACTCCAATCTTAGGAGACAACATCTCCACTTCGCCTGCCCCCTAACTGAAAATGTTTCTGCTAAATCCCATGAATACCTTCCACATGGTCACTTTTAACTTCTTCAAAAGGGATGCCCGTCGGGCGGACAGCCCCACCCTACATCATCTTCTCCAGGGTACCAGAGCATCTTTTCTGCATACCACCAACTGGTCCCAACATCACCATCTCCAAGCCCCAACCTTCCATTTGCCCTCCACCTTGCCAACGTCAACTAAACCACAGACGCTGAGCACCTCTTAAACTCACTACCAATCCCTTCCTTATTAAGCCCTTTATAGAGTCCCCAAATATCCCTTCTGTAGGACCCTAACCCCTCTAGTATCACACTGCTTTCTCCAGGCTAAGATTCCCTTCTGCTCATCTCTAATCCCTCTAATATCACCTTCTCTTAGGTCCCTAAGCATTCCTCCTGCTTGCCTCAACCTCTCCTATCAGAGCCCGTGCACCTCTACCCTGTGCCCCTCCACCTCTGGCCCTTCCTCCCCTCACAGCTGGCCTGTGACTACTCAAATGAGATCACCAATGTTTACAAGTATGACAAGCTGCTACCCAACACAGGACCACCAAGCAGCAATGTGAAGGAGCAGTAACTGGGCCCCCGTAAGTCCTCACAACCAAGACAGGGAATGTTCTAGCAGGTCTGCAACTGGCACTTGGGAGGTACCAGAGTCACCATCCTGTTGTTTCTACTGCAATCCCTACAGTCATCAAGGTGCCTTTTTGTTTCTTTGAAATACAATATAATTCCTCATTCTTAATATACCTTTCCTACAACTTCACATTAAAATATGGGCACCTACTGACTGGAACAGAGACAGCACAGCCCTTTCCTGAAGGGCAATTTCAGTGTGCCACCACAGCATCAGCAGTTCTGTGACTGCAAATTTATCCTCAGCAAACTGCCTGATTAAAGCATAAAGTGTGAAGTCGGATGTTCACTGTACCATTCTTCATATCAGCGAAACACTGAACGACCTAAGTGTCAGTCAGTAAGGAATGGTGACTTAGGATACCATGTATACAATAGCATATACACAAAAATATCGCTCATCCATTAACAAGAGCACTTTACTTACACTGATTAGCATAAAAATAATACATGGAAAAAGCAGGTTAACTAACCACAAAAATATACAGTATTATTCCATTTTTTTTTTTAGAGGCAAAATAGTATGTGTTTAGAGAAAAAAGTTCAGGACAGAACAAGAGGTTACAGAACTTATTTCTGTAGGGTTTTCGTGTGATTGCCACTTTCTCCTCTAAAATAGTTTTGATTTTTTTAGTTATTGTCCTTACCCTGGGCAGATATTACTCTTATTTCAGGGGAAAAAAAAGTACTTAAAATGGAGGTACATACTAACTCCTGTTCAAAGGGGTACACTAAAGGGACTTGTATATTATATAGAATACACTTGGTTCAGGCAATTTTTTCATCTTTTGAAAACTTCCAGCTAACTTCATTTTGATTAGATAAGCTGCTACTCTAGGAGCTGTCTACACTTGCTAAGAAGTGACCTCAGAAGGACAGTGTGGGAAGGAGCCATGAGACGATGCCACACGCAGAGGAGAGCAGGTCAGAAAGCTGCACAATTATGTTGTTTGCTTCTCCCTTACATAAATCCTCAGATGAGGAGTCAAGCGCAGGCAGCTGAACTTGGGACATGACACATGCTCGTACACAGGTAAGGAGATGAGAAAGGGAAGGACATCACCCAGAGACACCTTATCAAGAAAGTCATCACCCTGTTCAGTCAGAGCTAGACTCAGGAGAGCCCTCGAAGAAATCTGAGGCCTCAAGGCACAGTTATCCTGAGGGGTGAAGAAAACAGAAGGCGAGGCCCTTGGGTCAAGCTGATGATTCTGAGAGGTAGGAACTCCATGGCTCTTCCAGCCAAAGTTGGAAAAATACGGAGTGGCAGGGGGCTGAGGTCATGTGAAACCAACAGTGACCTCCTTGAGAAGGTACCTAGCTGTTGATGAACACCTGAAGAGGATATGGACAGCCGCGGTGTGGAATAACAGTTAGTAACAGAACAAAAAGCAAATGAGAACTCCGGACAGTAACTCCCAACCAGGGAAACAGCTGTGCATACACAGAAAAGGAAGCATCAATTACTAGCAGGTCCTGCTGTAATTAGCTTTTACACTGTTATGGTATTGCACACACTTACTACCATGCTAATGAAAATTATACAGCAACGCTTTAGGAAGAGGAAGATTCCGAGATGGGTGGGTCTGAACACAAGTTCAAGAGGCATCCCGGAAGACTATGAGTTTTTGAATTGTGTGCAACTGAACTTTCTGCAAAAGTAAAGGGTGGAAAGAGCAGTCAGGACTAGCACAGCCCCTGGACTAGCACGGCCAGGAGGCACGTGGCGTGGAATGCAGACCCAAAAGGATACCAAGTTTTAAATAAAGGATTCACTCCCTGGCTTTGGGGGACGGTGCGCTGCAATGGGTGGGCTGGATCCCTAGGCTCTGGGACCTTTCTCAAACCACTCTCCTTGCCCACAGCTCACACCCTCGCCTCCCCTACTGCCCGGTAAAATAGCTGAACTCTGCGACTTGAAACGTAACCATTAAATAGGACTCAGTGTCTCCACCATCAGACCCGGCTCCCGGCACAGGCGCCTGGGGCACCGCCGTGGGACGCGACCTCCTGCCCGCTCCCGCGCAACTGCAGGGCCGGGCGCACCCCGATCCCCGGCTCGAGCGCGCGGCGGCGGCGGCGGCTGCACCCGTGGCCTCAGGGCGCGCTCTCGTGGGGGAGGGCAGCGGGGGGCAGGCGGGGCCGGTGGGGAGCCCCGGGCCGCACACCCGAGCACAGTCCAGGCCGCGCCGCTCCCCGCCCCCCACAGCGCCGCCGCCCGTTAGGTCCCGGAGGCGAGTGCCCCCGCGGTCACCTGGCGGCCCGGTGAGGAACACGTGCGACGCCATGTGCAGGAGGGTCGCGGTCTTCTCAGCCGCGGGATCAAGGTGCGGGTCTCAGTCGGCCCCGCCCCCCGAACTCGGGCCATCCCGGCGACCTACCGGAAGCGGCGCTCTGCGCATGCGCCGCCGCCTGCTCCTGCGCGCCGTCGCGACCCCAGCGTTTGAGCGCCTCCAGCGTCTGTCTGCTAGTTTCCGGTGGGCCCACTTCCCAGGGATACCTGTGGTACATCTGGAAGACCCTACGACCCTCAGCTTTTGCAGTGTTTTCGTGGGGACACTTGCTTTTCTGCCTAGTCTCCAGAGATGCCGAGTGTCAGATTACAGCAACTTTTGCTTAAAGTTCTAATTGAGGATTTTATTGCAGTCTGGAAATACTGTAGGTGAACATTCGTATTAGCTGGGCAAAGGAAGCTGTCTCTGTAGACAGACTAAAAAAAGCACAAGTAATACCAGGCATGGTGGTCTTTGCAAAGTTACATCTTCTACATGGTTAGAACAGAGGACCTGCTTATAGTCCTGACTCAGGTACTCGGTAATTCCTCCTTTTTAGGAAAACTAGTCCATTTCAAACTTCACTTTGATTACCAGGCACTTGGCATAGTGACCTCATTCTGATTGAGCAGGGCTGCTGGGCCTACTGTGGAGCTCCGCTCAAAATAATCACAGAAGTCATTAGTCTGAGGCCAGTCCTGAACATTTGCATTTTGTAGACGTTCCTGTAGTTCACTGGGCTTGAGAATCAATCAGTCCAAAACCCCTTCCTATATCCAACCACACGTGTGATACTGTCTCCACTTCACACCTTTATACCAAGTGTAAACCAACACAACAGCCTCCTGAGGATTTCCTTTGTAAAGAATCAAGTAGCTGCTGGCCTTATTTAACCACTTCAAGTGCTCCAGCCAGCAAAGTAAAGTGGCCAAAGCGTTGGACCAGATGTACCTGAAAACTCTTTTAGTCTAATGTGTACAGTTTGACTTGTGATCAATCATTCTCCACCCTGGCTGAGAAAGTAATTTCAGGGTGTGCTCAATTTAATTGAGTTGCTCTCACACAGACCCTCTTGGCTCCTTCTGTCCTACAATAATATGACTGTCAGAAGGCCTCAGTTTCTTGCTGTTAAAAAAAAATCATCTTAAAAAAGCATGATATAGTTGTCACCATCATTCCTGGAACATTTATTATACTATGTACTACAACAGGGCTATTTGCCATACCAACAGGTACAACGTGTTAGAGTTAAGGTTGGGATTCTTCCATATCTTGTACCTGCTAATGAAATCAGTCAAAGAACAGCTGATGTAACAAAGTAAACCCATAGGCATCAGAAAGAGAAGGGGAGAAGGAGGGAGAACATGACTGTGTGACACTTTGCATCACTGACAAGCAGTCTGGATTCGCAAGGCTCATAGAAGTTTTTTGTTGTTTTTTTTTTTTTTACTGTTGCATTTGTTGTAATTCTAGTATCAGTTTTTGTCACTCAGAAGCATAGAGAATTCAGATATACAGAATCAATGTCTTGGTGATGAGAAAGAAAGTGCTTCCACACATGAGTTTCTTTGTCCGTTTAAAACAAGTTTATGGGATGATGGCTACATGGCTATTTTCACTATACAATACATCATTGAATACTTAATTTGTAGAACTTTCTTTTTGTTGTTCTACATCAGTAACCACATAAGTTAAAGAACATATCTATTAGATTTTTTTTAAGGGACAACATAATTAGCAACAAAGTACCAGGCTAAATCTAATTCTTTACTATCTCAATAAGGTGACTTGTGTGCAAAATACATTTTGTCGTTTTTATTAAAGCATAAGCCAAAGCAACTCCACTTTGAGTTTTAGGTGACCTGGCCACCTACTCACTCTCCACTCCTCAACCCCCACCCCATTATTATTTTTTGCTCCAAGAAATAGTATGTACCTTTTCCTGGAGCACAGCTAGTTTTCAAGATAGAGGTCAAGGACTTTGCATTTAGCAAGCCCTCTGTAACTTATCCAGCAACGCATACTCCCATCTTCGTGCACCACTTGAGTTATCAAGATGAACTGAAAGTCTTCAAATTAGGCAGAATAGAGGCAGCCCTCCTTTGTCCCATGCACCGGCTACCTCATGCTTGCACCCTTTTGCAGAAGTCAAAGAAAATGCCTCATCAAAATTTCTTGATGTCTAAGTGCTTTATAATCTACACCCACAATTTGAGTCTGGGGTCTTATTTCCAACATATGGACTGAATCTGTGCCCCCTAATACATATATGACATCCCACCCTGATGTGAGGGTAAGGAGGTAGAGCTCCTGGGAGATGATTGGGACATAAAAATGGTGCCCTCGTGAATAAGGTCAGTGCTCTTAGAAAAAAGTGGAAGTGAGTTCTGTTCTATCTGCTCCCTGCTATGTGAACATACAAGGAAGAGCCAGGAAAAGGCTTTCATGAGGAAACTGGAAGTGGTGGCACTCTGATTTTGGACTTCATCCAGAATTATTAGAAATAACATGTTTCTGTTGCTGCGACCCAGTCTTTGGAATCCCATCATAGTCTGAGCTAAGAATAACGTGAAACTGCACCAAGGGCAGGTGATTCAGGATTCTTCTTTCTATAGCACCTGTCTAGTATCCCTTGGTGAGGATGCAGCACAGTTCTTCACTGAAGCAGTCTGTAAGTCCCTCTGCAGTCTGCAGCCATAGAATCTCAAAAAGTTCAAAACCCACTGCTTGTTTGGCTTTCAGATCTCCCTTGGTCCTGGACAGTCCTAGTTTGTTTGCTTGCTTAATTGATTGGTCAATTGAGGTTGTTTGTTTGTTTGTTTGTTTGTTTGTTTTGCAGTACTGGGCATCAAACTCAGGCCCTTTCGTTTGCCAGGCAAGCACTTATGCTACTGAGCTATCTCCCTGGCCCCTCAATTGAGGTTTTTTTTTAAGACAAGACAACACTATGTAGTTCATCTTGGCCTTGGACTCACTATATAGCCCAGGCTGGCCTAAAACTCATGGCAATCTTCCCATCTCAGCCTCCTCAGCAGCAAGATTATATGTGTGTACCAACAGGCCTAGTAGGACAGGCCTAGATGTAAAATTTCATGTTCCCTTTGTAAGGAACAAGTTGACAATACCCTTCAACCCCCAATTAACAAGCAGAAATGAAGGGAGTTTTTTCTAGCCTCCTGCAAATAAGTGGGAATAAAGGAAGACAAAAGTGTCCAGAGTAAAGTGTTCAGGAGAAACAAATAGATGTGAAGAAGGAGGAGGCAGAAGTAGCTTCCGCTTTGCTTTGTAGCTTGCATGAGGAGTCCTGACAGTGCACTTAGTGTCAGCTATAGTCATTCACTCCAGTTAGATCCATTAGTGGAGTACTTACTATTTGTAAAATAATATGGCACTTGTTCTAGTTGAGTCTATTTCTGATGAGTAGACACCAGAAAAATTACTGCAACTAATGAATATTCAACAAGCAGTTTATTGAATATGACTCTTCCCTTTCTCCTTTCCCCCTTCCTTCCTTCCTTCCTTTCTCTATTTTGTCCCAGATGCTGTGGTGACTAGTAGGGACTAAGACATTTTGAACAGTTTTTGTCTTGATAAGAATAAGTCCAAAACATTGCCTATTACACCTGAGGTCCAGACTTTGGAAAAACTCCAAGCATCCATGTTTTCTTACTATGAAAATGCCTTCATCCCAGCTCCAAGGGGAAGAGTTACTTCCCCAACTCTTTGCGTTGCCTACCTGTCAAATTAAAGTTGCCAGTGAGAGAGCTGGCATTGCACTGGAGCTGCAACCTTTTCATACAGTCCATCTAATAAATGATAATAGCTATACTCACATAGTGCTAGCTTGTGCCAACTGTACTTCTAAGGCCATTCATTACACATCACATTAATCCCTCAAATCATCACAAAAATGCCATTTTGTATGGGGAGAAGCCAAAGCATAGAGAGGTTAAGGGACATGCTCCAGGCTGCCCTTTGCTCGCGCCAACCCATGCACATGCATACACATATGCAGATACTCCTTGTGAATAGACAGTCAGATAAATCGAACGTAAGGTGAAAGCATCCTTGGCTGAAGATGCACATAATACAAGCCTACAGTGCATCATAGCTTGCAGTGCAGCATACAGTAGCGTGTTGGCTGCTCGGTCTGTGAGGGTGTGGCTGCCTGGGGGCTGCTAAGTATGGCATCAAGAGTATAAGCCTCACAGTGCTACCCCAGGGAAAAAATTTCAATATTGGAAGGATCTTTCTACTGGATGTGAATCATTTCACACCAATGTAAAGTGGAAAATTCATAAGTTGAACCATCTTAAATTAAGACTATCTATATACATGTGAGAGCTCTCTCTCTGCCTCTATCTATCTATCTATCTATCTATCTATCTATCTATCTATGACATCTGATTCAGAGCCAGGTATTGGGCAACAGTCTGTTCTCACAGCTGCTGCACTGTATTTCTGCTCACTGATACAGCTTTTTAACCTTTGTCCTGAAAATAGATCACAGGCAATATCACAAAACAAGAACGCTTGCATGAGGACTGCAGCCGTAGACGTTGGCTGCCTTTTCTTCTTCTGAGAAAGACAGAATCATATCACCATGGGATAGCATATCTGAAATAAACCTGATGAAACCTTCACAGTGTTAGTGGAGAGTATGCAAGCGCTCTCTCTGCCTGATTTTAATCTATCCTTCTCCCCAGGGCTTTCCAGGATCATAATTTCTGTCACATAAGTTCTCATGGAAAAATCTAACTTGGAGACTCCTGGGTCAGTCAGCAATCCAGTGAGCCCAGCAGGTGTACTCTTTCACCTCCAGGTCACTCTAGGAATGAGCCTGCAAGTGGGCTGCTGCACTCTCCCGGTGCTGAAGCTGGCCTCTTTCAGTCAGCAGTGTGAGGTCAGGAAGTGTCTGTCCCACAAAGGTGCAAAATCAATGATGTTTACTCCAGTTCATCGTCTTTCCTCATAAATCATCTGTGAGGGAAACAAACTGCTTGTTAATGTGGTCCAGCTGCGCCATCCGCAGCAGTAAGCTGAGCACCTCACACAGAAGGGCTGAGCCTTCGCTGTCCCTCTGCCCTCCTGAAAGC